CACTGCAGCCTTAGGAACAAAAAGGTATTACCAAGCATGTAAAAAACTTAATATCCTCCCAATCTCTGTAATGTTTGACTACTACACATAGTCATAACTATAAGTACATAGGTACAATGTACAAGGATATACTATTTTTCCCGATCCCTGACTCCTGTGCCGAAGACACAAAAGAGTCAATTGGACAAGGGTTAGCGTACGACTACGAGTTTTTTTCCTTTGTATTTAACTATATATACAATTACAGCGAGACGATATATATCCGTACCATTTTACTGACATCACGGCATCAACTTTAACACGACTTTTCGCAAAAACCGTAAAATATATAAAACTGAAATTTTTTTGACTGGGTGAAATGTCTTAATGGTTTTCAAATCAGCATGAAAAAATAACAAATTGGCCAAGAAATGACAATTATATTTATAGTGCCCAAAATTTGGTGTCAAAAACGAAAAATAAAATAGGTAATAATTAATTAAATCTTTTGAGTCTTGACACCACTTAGGGTTAGACGGGTTCCTGCTAGTATATGGTAGCTTGCGACCGTCATGCCTGCCTGCCTGCGTAAATACATACGTGCCGGCCGTGCGCACAAATGTCGTCTACGTTCTTGACTCACAATGTCAATCCTTCGCATCTCGCCGATCTGCATACGGTTGTGGTTGCGAGAAAATGCGCGGCGCGACCCAGTCTAGTAGTGCATCGCGCTACAACCTACGTTCCTTTTTAAAACTAGAAGAATGTATAATATATTATTACTTTTATGGGTGGGCGATGTGATCAGCTGGGACTAGAGAGACAGATCACTGAAAGAATCTATGACTATACTACTTTGGCAACAATGTTTATTGGTGAAAAAAGTGTGCTGCAACTTAACCCTCTTTAATTATTAAAAAAGCAATTTAACTTTGGGAGCCATAAGACAAAAGTGACATGTGTGATGTGACGAAGAAGAAGAAGATGACATGCGACAAAAGCTTTCCACTTTCAGAATTGAGAAAAGAGAGTTGGTCTTGGATCAGTGATATTGCATTAGATCAGGCTTGAAAAAATTGTTCATCAATTAAATGCTTATTTGTCCAAGACGTTCCTATTATATTATTTGACCAAAACCCATAATCATGGGTACAGTGTACCGCTGCCAGTGTCTCTCTTTTCCAAACAAAAGGAAATGATATTAATTTGAATAACCGTCCGCAAATGCAAATTGATACCGAGAATGAAATCGGTCGCTCGCTATTTCGAAATCACGAATGAGCAAAATTCTCACCTTTCGCACGTGCAAACATTGAGCGGACGTTGTGTGCGCATACAATATTGAATCACCGTAAATTTTTGCATAGCAGTATTTTATATATACAGCAATTTTCAGTAATTTTAGCAATTTTCTATCAATTTGGACGTGTCCCCACGTGTGCAACTTTTCGATTTTCAACTTTAAAACTAGCCTATAACACAATTTAGACCTTTAAGAAGCAAAATTGAGCTCCACAACCCAAGGGATGGCCCAACACCAGAGAATACTAATTCACAACTTTTGTGTTTTTATAAAATTATTCTTCAAAAAAGCACTTACTTCAATAGCAAATATCTTTATGAAGGAGCAAAGTAAAAAACTTTTCCGGTAGATTTTCAGAATGCTTGAACAATTATCTAAGGTAGGGGGTGCACCATAAAAATAAACTTGCTCGGATTTTAAAAATTTTTGTACCATTGTTTTCTAGAGACTGTGAGAATTTTCACAATACCAAATTTGTCATACCTTTTTGGAAAGATCAGTGAGTTTCGCCTAGGTGCCATATTTGATGGTGCGCGGCTTTTGGAGCAAAATTAGCTGTAAAAGCCGCGTAATTTGACCAAATTTGACCAAATTCGTTGATTTTTGTCGTATTATTTGGATATATCTTTAGTTCCTTAAAGTTAAATGAGATCATTCTGGAAATTGGCGACGACCTTCCAATAGAGCTTTCACATCTGTCCGAAAAATTTGGTGGATATCGGAGTTGATATAGTGATCAAAATGGGGCAAAATACGCTGCTTTTAGCTGTAACATAATTTCTGATGGTTGGATATGCTTTACATTTTTCGGACACTTTCCTTGTAAATCTATAAGTAAGCTTACCAATTTTTGTTGCAATCGGAGGTCGGGAAAGATTCTAAATATCTATTTGTTTGAAGAAAATTGTGCTGGCCGAAATTAGCGCTAAAAAACCATCCTACAGTCGGCACGCGCGGCTCACTGTCGATGGCGCACTACCTATCTAAGGTGAAAATGTCCTCATATCAGATTTTGAATAAAATTACTCCTTAATGGTTTAAAATCGATTTGAAAAGTTGTTACTTTGTCAAAAATCAAGTTTTGAAAACATTTAATTTGATGACGTCATCAAGTGATGATGATGAAGATAAATTATTTTTTGATATAATGTAAACTAAGGTATAAACAATTACCTTTAAAACCTGTGGTTCGAAATGACTGTATCTTTTATACTTTTGAATCTACGGACACTTAAATGTAGGCTATAATTGACTGCAAAAGCGTCTATACATACATATATATACTTCACGACAATCTGTTGTAAAACAGGGGTTCCAGAAAACCCACTTCCCGATACTCCTGAAACATGCAATTTTTTTACAGTCGATTTAAACAAGGTCTAGACGCCCTGCAAAGTTTCAGATCTCTAACTCAATTTTAACATGGTTTTTAAGGCACCTGAATATGGCGATTTTGGATTTTTTACCTAATTTCGTATAACATGCTGGCGCGTATTTTGAGAAAATTTCTTAAAAATCTCCACATAACTATTTCTTATTCCTGTCATCTTTAACATTGAATTAGAATGTTTTGAACTTAAATATATGATATACCTGCTGAACTACTTTCGATGAGTCTTAATGCCTGGAAAACAATAAAGGGGATATACTAGTATAGGGGGTAAATAGTATTGTGAATATAAGGGCGACGGTAATGCTTGCCAGCATTGTGATATATAGATTATAGGTCTATATTGTGATACCTATAAGCTAGTTGAAAATAAGTAAGCTTTACACGTTAGGTACGCCAAAATCGATGGAAAACTGCTAAAATCACTAAACATTGCTATTTTTACAATTTTCTCAGTCGCCAGTGTCTCCTTTTTTCAATCAATTGATAATATTGATAGAAGGCAGTGTCAGGTGCCTGAACTCAGCACTAACGATGCGTTACCAGTATACAGCTACGCCCTCACAGCAGTTATTGAAATCGTTACAATTCCAAATAAAATTTGCAGGCCGTGAATGAATGGCAAAAGTGAGCGATCGAGTTCATTCTCGGAATCATTTTGCGTTTGGCCTTGGGTATGGTATTGGTAACGCCAACGGTAATTACAGAGCAGAGCAGAGCCACACCTACAGCAGCTGTGCATATTCAAACAAAGAACAAAATTTGAATATTAAATAAAGTCACCGCCAACCCTCGACCGGATTATTGAAAATTCATTTTTATATTAATTATTAATCTTACCTTTACTTGGGACCAGAGGCTATGCCTATAATGTTTATAAACATAGAGATTCGGCGGAATGACAGGCTGAGCGCCGCCCAGTAAATACTAATCATACCTTATTGGACATAAAAATATTCCTTGAAAAACTAAATTGTAGATGTTGTTCACCACATACATCTTCGCGCTATTTTTAATATAATAATATATTTAATGATGCACGGCTTTTGCCGCTTCAGTAAGCGTAAAATTCGCGTAATTTGATGAAATTTGTTGATTTTCGTCTTATTATTCCGAAATATTCCGTCATATCTTCGGTTTCTGAAATGGGATCAATCAAAAAATTCGTAAAGACCACCCATTTAGAGTTTAGAAACTTTTGGAAAAACTTGGTGGATATCGGAGTTGAAAATGGGGCAAAAGGTGTTATTTTGCAAAAAACCGGAGGTCTCTACCTCTTTTACTTTTGAAGTTAGGCCCCAGCCGGTAAGGTTTCCTGGTTATAACTAACGCGCATTTAAAGAACTTTTGCTTTCATTTAAAAAAACTTTCACTTTTACAGTTTTACAAAGCATAACCCGCCACCGGCACTAATGGAGTCAAATTTCAATTTCAAAATATCAAAAGAAAGTTATATTAAGAATTTCTGAAACACCAATGGGGATCTTTAGATGGGGTTGTGAAAACTCGATCTTTACCTTCAAAATCGACTTTTAAAACTTCATAATTTTTCCAGATAAAAGTAAGCCTTATATCGGAACAACTCCAATTGTGTCATAAAATATTTTGCTCGTTTTAAAAAAAGTTTGATATTCACATGGTATCACTATCGTGATCATTTCATTATAATTATATCGCTGCTATCAACTTAATAACACCAGAATGTGTGTGTGTCTGTGTGTGTGTCTGTGTGTAATTTCCGAACGGTTATACAAAAAAAACGGTAATAGTTACGGGACTGGTTTTTTCGGTATAGTGCCGACAAAACTCTGACGAAGCCAATAAGCAAATTTTATAAAAATCGGCCGGTGGTAAGTGGTTTAATTGATGGTTTTGTACCACAAAATATGTTACATAAAATGGCTTGAGAAGAACGGCAAGAGTTACGGGGCTAGCTCTCTCTCTCTCTGCATATGTAGCGTATATATTACATGGCGTATATATTACATGGTCATATAATACTATAAACTTATTAGGGGAGGGAGTGCTCAAACGGTCTGTTTGGACTGTAGAGAGAGTTCATACTTTCATACGACAATGTAATGCATGTTCACAAATATGATAGGCTGGTGTGGTGCATGGTGTTAAGGGTTAATTTCTATTGATTATTCATTAAGAATTACTATCTTTTAAGCATACTATTGGATACGTGAGGGCACTCCGAATAGAATTGCTCGCCTAATCCGGGTTTTGACTCAGCGAGTAATTACTCCTACCCTTTTTAACTGCGGCAGTGAAATCCCGGCCGTAGGCCGGGTTACACTAGTTACAAATAATATTGAAATGTTTTCTTTCTATTTATTCAAAGTCGCGCAGACTGGCAACCCTAATATACACAAATCGCTTCTTACGATAAAGGTCAAAAGTTCTAAAACAATTAAAAAGTTCCAGCAATTCTAAGATTCCAACAAGTTACTCCAATCATAATCAGTGGCATTTAAACAAATCTTCGGACACTGATTGCTATAAATGAGGGATAACAGTTCACAAAGCGAACATTTCATTAATATTATTAATATTAAGTTTCATTTCCCCACAACTCAGTAGCCCCAATACCTTCGGTATAGTTCCAATCATTTACCCCAATCACTGGTGTCTGCCCTGTTCCTCCTCCTCCTCCTCCTCTCCCTCCTTTGTTCCCACCACCACCACCACCACTTGGTTTCCCTGCAATTTCCTCAAGCCATTCCGGCACATCCTGTTTAGCTTTACTCAGCATCCTGACTAAAGGGATAGCTAGGTGATGGTCAATATCTCGCTGGAAGAACGTTATAGCTGTTCCAGTGTTTCCTGCTCGACCAGTCCGCCCTATCCTGCAATGCAAGGTATTGTTAACATTTCATTTGAAATAACCAACTAATTAAAAACTGACCTATGAGAACACTGTATTTATACCTTGTGATGCAAACGAACCTGTGGATATACTCTTCAAACTGATCTCTGATCGGCTTCTTGCTGATCCGACCCTCTCTCAGAGCAGTGGCGTCGTGCTCGTGAAATTTAGGATTACTATACAGACTCAAGGGTAAGTCAAAGTTCATGACATGCGTTACCCCCTCTATGTCTATCCCTCGAGCTGTCACGTTAGTTGAAACCATTATCGGGTAAACTCCGTCCTTGAACGCGTTCAGATGTTGAACACGTTCAGGTTGTGACAGCTCCCCGCTCAAATATATCGCTCCAAAGTTCTCGATAAGATCGGCATCATCCTCCACGTAGTAAAGGTCACGGAACTTCTTCCGGAACCGACCTTTGCATTGATCGTAGATATACTCCGAAACACTGTACGCTATCTCTCTAGCGGATTTCTTTGTGTTGACAAAAACAAGTATTTTCTTGTCAGAGCAGCTTCCTAGCATGTGAAGGATGTAATCTCCTATATTTGGGTGATTGCTGCCCTGCTCGTGTTCCCAGCACTTGTGTTTGAGGAAGGATTTCTCAGCAGTTACCAGCAGGTCCAGCAGAATCTCTTTTAACCGCCACAGTTTCTGGTTGTAGTTATCAACCAGCTCGAAGTTCTGGGTGACGTTAGGTTGCGCAGAACCAATCTCCCCTGCCTCTATCAGTCTGTACTTCGTTTTGAGAGACTTCCTCGCAACCTTCTGGAGATCAGGTCTAAAGGTGGCGCTGAAGAGAAGGCTCTGTCTCAGTTTGGTGGAGGGCATGTCTGTCTTACGGCTGTCAATTATCAGATCTATGTCAGGTCCGAATCCCATATCCAGCATCTTATCTGCCTCGTCTAATACAAAGAACTTGATGTTCTCTAAACTTATCGTGAAGTCTTCAATAAGCTGTCTCACTCGACCGGTTGTCCCTATCAAAATATTGCACCCATTCCTCACTCTATCCAATTGTTGCTTCCTATTAGTCCCAAGTCCTCCGTGAACAACACACACTCCACAGCTAGGCTCGATGTCATTGGTTAGCTTCCTCGTTGTTTTCTCTATCTGGGTAGCAAGCTCCCTAGTCGGGGCTAGAATCAGAACTTCTGGTTTCTGAGGTGATTCGCGAGTCACAGGTTTCTTCTTGTACCCTCCATCTTTGATGAATTTCACCATCGGGATGATATAAGCTGCAGTTTTACCTGTACCAGTCTGGGCACACCCCATGACATCGTGCCCCTCGCTGATTATGGGAAGAGCATAACGCTGGATCGGGGTGGGAACCTCAAAATTGCAGCAACTCTTGTCTGTTATGTTCCCAAGCAACTTCCTATCTAAGTTGAGATCTTTAAACTCGTCAATTGGTTTGTGTTCTGGGTCACGTTTCGTGCATTTGCACGGATCTTCCTCTTCTTTCGTTTCTGAATCATCAGATTCTTTACTCTTAGCTTTACAGTCCCCGCACAAAGTACCAGGAGTAGTGACTTTGACTGGAGAGAACTTGAACAGTTTGAACTTGATGCCCGGGTCAATACGGTCTATCTCGTAAAGCTCTTCTTTATCAGTGATGCGGTTACAGAATCTGGCTGCGTGGCCGACCTTACCACACTTCCAGCATTTCAGTCGACTGTACGCCGCCTGACTGTCGTCGTAACTATCTCGTCGGTACGTCGAGTTGGATTCCTCGGAACGCCGCCGATATCTTCTGCCCGACATCGCACTTAGCTTCCCTCGGCTGCAGTTTACATTACCTAATGATGAGATACGAAGATAAAATTGAAGAGTATATTATGCATATAAGAATATTTTGTTCAGATATCGAACGGCGTTTGTGGAAATTCTGAATTTGACTCAACGAATTAAGCAGAAAAACGTATCCATATTGTAATTTAGGTATAATTATATTAAGTCAATGGCTTCACTTTTACAGGCCCTTTAACCAAATTAATGATTCACACATTATCAAGTTCCTGTCAAAATAAGTTCGAATCAAATTTCAAAGATCAAATATTTAAATCAAAAATCAAATCAGATCAAGAACAATGACATAAATCACTTTTTAAAAGTAGATAAGTTTTTAGTGTTGATAAATTGATAGGTGACAGGACTAAACCGAAACGAAATTAAAAACTCGTCACAGGTATAAGCGACTGAAATAGAACGCATGGAAAAGGGAACCTAAAGTTGACATATTCCAAAGGCAAAACATGGAAAGGTAAGAAAAACAAGAGAACTAAACGGCTCTGCAAGGCGAAGAACGGGGATCCTTGTGTTCTAGAAGGTTCTAGAGGGTTAAAGTATAACTTATAAGTAAACTTTTAAAATACATCACAAAGTGTCGAAGTGGTAGGAATTAAAGTAGAGTACAGCGAGCCGTGCAGCGTGATAGCCTGATAATATACCGAAACAGGAAAACCCATGACCAATATCCAATTACTTGACTCGGCTCAATACTTTAATACTTCTCCAGAAAAGTAACAAACAGGGCTTCACAAGCACAGCAAGTAGAGCTAATACCTTTATAACACCCATGACACACCTGTTATACCCGCGGTAAGTCAGCATAATATGTTATAATTATGCATATTGTACACATAAGCCTACTCTAAAATTAGAATAAGTGTTCTATTTTTGTTGTTTAGTGTTCATTCAATCATACATAGCTGCAATACCAGATAACTAAGTTTCAAGCTTACTTACGAGTAAATCTTGTTATAATTAAGTTTGCTTTGATCGTCTATAAAAAATAAGACTGAAGGAGTCAAATTATATACCGTTCCTTATACATTATGTAGAAATGTTATGCTGTTATCTCTTAATGTACATGAAATCCTACATGACATCTACCTCGATTAGAATAAGACGCCTTTTGTCAACCATGAGCGACATACTATACCGAAAAAAGAACAGTAGAACGCAGGAACAATGTCCATTGTACAAATGTGTTAATAAGTCACCACACAGGAATTAACGAGTACTATTATAACTAAAGCTGTAAGTAAGAAAAGAAACATGTAATTCAGAGATCATGCCATGCTGTGTAATACGCTAAACACCTATCTCGGTCACACTACAAAAGTTAACTCCGGTGTTATGTTCTTCGAGCTGGCAGTTTGCCCAGAAAACAAATTGGCTCTATAAATGCGTACGATGGCAATTTTAATAAATCTTCTGGCCCGTGAAATTGAATAATTATCGCAGGGAAGTGTTAAGTGACGCGTACCAAACGGAAACAGGAATCTGATCTTGCAATTGAAATCATTTTGCTGACGCGCGTGGCAACCGCAAACAGCAAAATTCTATTTCTAAGTCAGCAGTCAAATTACGCGCGCGAAATATGATATGCACGCTTAATTGCGCTTTTATATTAACCGATTATTCCCTAAATGGTCGTACGACATATTTATTATGCATATGGGCAAATTTGAAAAACTCACGGAAAAAATCCTGATGACGATAAAATTTTTATTACAACTTTTAACTTTGCTTTTACTGGGCGGCGCTCAGCCTGTAATTCCGCCGAATCTCTATTCCATATGTTTATAATAGCAGAGGTAAAACTACAGCAGAGTTACTCACCGTAAGATCGATCAATCCTTGTAGGTTTACAACCTACCAGGACGCGCGCCGAGTTGGACTCGTCGACGGTCCTATATATGGAACAGATATTTTACGAGTATCACCCGTTAAATCAATCCCAAATCATCTGCTGAGTTGAGCGTGATGTACCAATGAACTCGACTCAAAATGCAACAGGGTGTAGTGCAATTATACTGCTCAGGAAAAATACAAGCAACTTAGCAACTATACTAGCGTAAACAAACGTTTAAATAAGCGCTATAAGGATCAGTACACAAACAAACAGCTAGAAAGATGACATGTGCATACTGCCGTTCCCTGAGAAAAGGCAGTAAGTCACATCGATGCCATTTTGAGAAAATGGGACAAACGTGTTTGTCGTTTTTTGACTTACTGACTGACTTGACTGACTTAAGGCGGCTTCAGCGTCCGAGTATTGATGCGCTGTCTCCATAAAACTCTATCCGCCATAAGTCCGCCCATTTCTCCAGTGTCGTTGAGACCCGTGTCAGCTCGTAAGCTATATCAACATAAGTCATGGCTGGTCTCCCCCTACTACGCACCCCATGAGTTGGTTCCCAGAGTAGCAAGCGGTTTGCGACTAGTTCTGGGTGCCGGTGGATATGGCCTGCTAGTCGCATCCTGCGCTCTTGGATCTTCATGGTTGCTCTTGGTAGGTTGCCATAGACTTCTTTGTTGGTTTTGCGCTGCTTCCAATCCACATTTAGTGCCATCCTTAGCATTCTGGTGTAGCAGCCATCAATGCGTTTCTTCAATTGCTCTGTCAACGTCCACGTTTCAAAACCATAAAGAAGTATCGACTCCACAGTAGCAACAAATAGACGGATCTTTAGTCCTCTTCTAAGGTCAGACTTACACATCTTCTTTAACTTGTGGCAGGCTGCCCAAGCCTTAGCTTTTCTGACCCGCAGGTCCCTCTCTGTCGTTGCTATCCATGCTCCAAGGTAAACAAAGTCTGTCACCTTTTCCAGCTGGTTTCCACCACAACTGTTAAGACTACTCGCCTCCTCTGTCATGTTCAGAGTCATGAACTTAGTTTTAGTGTCGTTCATGGCTAGCCCAACACTCAGTGCTGCTTTCTCAAGCCTGTCCAGGAGTAGTTTTGCCCCTTTAATGGTATCAGTGATAAGGGCAACATCATCTGCAAACTCGACGTCTGCGATGTCAGAGATATTCCTCTGTAGTTGTCGGTCTTAGTGAGGTCCCCTTTCTTTGGCACAGGAACAATATTACTGAACTTCCATTGATCGGGCATGAGACCGTCACATAGTGCATCGTTGCAGAACTTCAGGATGACGTCATCAATGTCCACCCTCTTCATCACTTCAGGTGAGATACCATCATCACCATAAGCTTTACCTTCTACTATCTGCTTTTTGGCAAGACGTAGTTCCTCAATGGTGAACGGGCCATCCTCTATATTCAGTGGAGGGTGTATATTCCTGATCGGAATACTATTGTCAGGGACTGTGGGTGGCTGTCCAAGTAATCCAGGGAAGTGCTTCCTCCAGTTCTCGAGACGTTCTGTTGAGCTGCCCCCTTCAACGAGTCCACAGCTGGGATTTGTTCTCCCTGAAATATCGTTGACAAGCTTCCAGCTTTCCTTGTTCTTACAACGATCAGCAGTATCCTCGACTTTCCTGATCTTTCCTTTCAGGATCTCCTCCTCTACCTCTTTGTAGCAGGCCTTTAACAAATCCTTTTTAGTGGCGACTTCCTCTCTCTTCTCCTCGCAAGGCTCCTGATGGTATTGGTCCTTGGCCAAGAACAGTCCCCTCCTTGCACTGTCCACTCTTAGGTCACTTGAGGGGTCAATCTGCTTTTGTCGAGTCTTCTTTGGCAGAAGGCTCTTGTTTGCCGCCTCAATAGCAACCATAAGCTTCCCGTAGCTTTCAGTGGCCCCATCATCCTCCTCTACCAGGCCAGAGAATCTATTCCGAACTTCAATTGCATACTTTTTTTGAAGCTCACCATCCGACTTCAGGGCACTATAATCATAGTTAACTTTTTTCGGAGGCCTGTGTCCTTTCCTAAAGCTAACTTTGATCTTACACACTACAACTCTGTGATCAGATCCCAACGACTGAAAAGTGTTGTAAACTTCAGTGTTCTTTAAAGGATTGGGCGACATCTGTCCGACAGCGACATCTGTCCGACAGCCGAATTAGGGATTTCGGACAGATGTCGCTGTCGGACAGGAGTCGTTTTTGGCGACATCTGTCCGAATTTCGGATTATATTGTAATTTCGGTTCACATTTGTATTTCACAAGCTCACGGGTAATCTCGTGACGTTGCTACCATTGTTCTAATGCTGATGTGACCCATTGAGATCTGATCCATCGATACGTGATTGACTAGTTGAGGACAGGATCGTGCTAGCCGTACACTAACAAGCTGTTGATCACATCACAGGACACAGCCTACATGAGTACATATTATAGGACAGCCGGACGGCGGTATGAGGGATCAGTTATCGCAATCCACAATCATTGTGGACCACAATGGCAACCAATCTTCAGTTTATCCCTGGACACAAACAAGGCTCGGAGAACCCTGTCCTGAATGGCTTCCGATGCGTCTTCGACAAACGAAGAGACGACACCACCTACTGGAAATGTTCGGATTTCCGGATCCTACCGTGGTGAAACGACCGTCCACGTCAGCAAACAGAACTTGAAAAGAAAGGCATCTGGTGGAGATCAACCGACGAAATACGTCGTATCTGAAGCAGTTGGTGGTTTGGGTTACGAATCTAGAGCTCAAAGCTAAAGCTTGGCTGCCAGCTATCATCCCTCAACAGAATGGTGGACATGGCTGAGTTTGCTTCATACTACGAAAACGTACTTGGATCGGGACATCAACCACCAATCCTAACTTCGCTCCCCACATGTGGAATCAACACGTGGGGAGCGAACAATAAATATTTTACAATCGACAACTTCAGAGAATTGTAGTTGATTACACAACTAGAGAAAAACTATGGTTGTAAACTATGGCTCAGATCATATCTCAAATAGGAAATGTTACGTATACAAATTAGCAAGTAACAGTTCGTATCATGTCTCTAATTGGTAATGTGTCGTATTGAAATCAGATCAAAATTTCGGACAGATGTCGTTTTTTTTCTGGTACCCTGAGTCGGACAGATGTCGCTGTCGGACAGATGTCGCTGTCGGACAGGAGTCGTGTTACCTCTTTTAAATAGTTTTTCCACTTCCTCCGTATGAGGATATAGTCAATCTGACCTTTGTTAAGTGTCCCATCGGATAAGAAGGTCCACCTCTTGTTCATGTTGACCTTCTTTCTGAAGCGGATATTGGTAATTTCCATATCGCACTCCAGGGCAGTGTCTCTCAGTAGCTCTCCATTCCGATTGGTACGAGTATGAAAGTACCAACGGGAATCTTCTTCACTCACCTTTCCAAGCCGGGCGTTCATATCTCCCTCTGTGATCAGCAGGTGGTGCGCTGGCACATCGTTCATAGCCTGTCTAAGGGTGTTATGAAAATCCTCCGCTTCTTCAACTAGTGCTGCCTCGGTCGGACTATAAGCAGTTATAGTTGTGAGTCTGGGACTCCCGTTGAAAGAGATAGTCAGCACCCTTGAGCCATAGGGTTTAATGAGGCTGATTGCGCTGTATGCTCTTCTAGTCAGCAGAAAGCCCACTCCACCAGTGGCTGCTCCTGCTCCATTCCTCCATGCTGAAACAGTTACCAAGCTAACCCCCTCCTTGAACTTTTCAATCTTGATCGGCTCCTGGTGGACAATCCTATGTTCTTGGATCCCAAGGATCTCCATGCCACTCTCCAGAAACTGAGTCACAAGTTCAAGGCGCTTGTAACCTTCTCTAGCAGTTCGGACATTAAATGTCCCTACTAGAGCTACCTCACTACAAGAAACCAATGCATCCCCATCCTTTTTTTGGTGTTTTATGTTATTTTTTGTGCCGGGTGAAGGAGCCGGCATATCATCTGTCACCCCTCTCCTAGGGAGTTTTAGGGTGAGAGAGTCATCATTCCGGTCCCCTCCGACATCTAAATCAGTGGTAGGGACTTTAACCCTAGTGTTATTATAAGACATCATCATACTTTTCAATGGCTGGTGTCTCATGCGCAGTCCCCTGCACATCAGGCAAAGTGAGACACCTACTTAACGCCGGGCGCCACTTGAGCGTTAAATGACTTATCCATCTTGGCCACGTGAGTAACAACTTCCGCTAGAAGTAGAACACATGTTGCTACCAATCAGTAAGAGTGGGTTTTGTGATGATGCCCTGTCGTTGTATTATTTCTTCTTTCGTCGCCAATTCCAATAAATGACTATACGCTTTTGTCCCAAAGCTAAGGGAGATTAGAGTGAGAGCGAAGGCTCCACTTTTACGGGAGCTAACCTTCCCCCTGACTACCTCGTTACCCCAGGCATGGGGGGCCGATCCTGTTACCAGAGCGTGGTCCAGTTTACCTGGGTCATGGAAACAAGGTCAGAGGCAAACGGCCAATACCTCTTTAGCTACTGTTCACTCCACAGCCGGGGGAGTCACTGATTCTCTGCACCTCTATTCTCTTGAGGTTTAGAGTTAGGAGACAATTATGTGATCCAATAATTGAAATCCGCGGGGGTCAGTGAGCCTCCCGTCGCCCTTCGCTGCCCTTAGCCTGGAGATCACCACTGTTCATCCAGTTTCCAGTCTTCACCGCGAGGAGATAGCAGGATAGGACTTGTTGTGGAGAGGCTTCATCTTGCTGTTCGATGTGGTACTGGAAAAGGGCACCAACGGGGTAGCCCTTTTTCGAGGTTCTGGCTGCTGCAGGCAGATCCAGGGTCTCTATCCAGCGGTAACGCTTTGGGTCACCTGCGCTTCACACAACCATTTTAGGTAATATTATTCGTATAAACGGGGTTAATTTTGACATCTATGTGTAAATAAATCATTGTCATATGTCCTAAACATGCTTAAAAGCATAAATTTACCAACACTGATCTATAAAAACCATTTTTCTTCAGAATAACTGAACTATTTTCCCATCCGCATTGGACTTACTGCCTTTTCTGAGGGAATCGCGGACTTACTGCCTTTTATTAGGATCGATTTCAACCGATTCCTCTCTAGAAAGGCAGTAAGTCCATTTTTCCTCAGATAAATTCAACACAAAAAATACAACATTTCTATATTTTTGATCATATCCTTGCAATATAATTATGTGGGCCTCCTGTGCATTGCAAGTGTGTAATATTGACGAAAAATGGATAATTTCTCGCTCAGAATGCATATAACTCCTTAAATATCGAATATTTTGGAATAATTTTTACAGCATCGTATTTAGCTTGGTCAGACGCATTAATTTAAAAAAACGTTTGAACATACAATATTTAAAGCACCAAATTTTTCAAAAAATGTTTCAATAATTCACACAAGGGGGGACCCTTGTGTTCAGGTTCAAAAATTTTGAAAATAATATTTTTTTGAATTTTGAATTATTAGTACCCAAATTTTTTGCTTGCTGAGCTGATTACGACCACATAAAAATTATTTCGATATAACTAAAACTGTGGAAGTTATAGTCCAAAAACTATAAAAAATGCAAATAAATCTGGACTTACTGCCTTTTCTCAGGGAAAAAGTTCCCTCACGGAAAAAGTTCCCTCAGAGAAGGCTGTACAAATGGACTTACTGCCTTTTCTCAGGGAAAGTTTTGGGATTACGTGCCAAATTGTCAAGTTATGTGTGACTTACTGCCTTTTGTGACAGCTAAAACAGTATTTTTATAACGTGATTCATAGCTTATGTTGTAGAGAATCTTCTCCTGAAAATTTTGGTACCAATATCTCAAAATTTCGAAAAATGGACTTACTGCCTTCTCTCAGGGAACGGCAGCATACATATACCCAGACAAGTAGCACTAGCAGTAGTACTAGTACCTACAGAGTCAGATTATTTATACTGCACAATAACTAGAGAGATAATGATAAGTGTACCGGCAACTGCTTGGTTCTCTATTATATTTACGGGGCCCAAGCTAAACAAATCCTATATTTGGTTATAATCGGTGACAAACTCCACTTCCTATTTCAAGTAGCTCTATTTCAACGTTATTTTATTCCAAAATCCAAATCGTGCGACTATCACACTTTTTATTTCTATTTCTATTTTGTAACAGAACGATCACGAAGATCTGCTTATATATGTAGACCAAAGGCCGGTACAACCGCAAGCCATCGAACACTCTTCGGCACTTTGAAACCTCGTTCAAACCTCCCCTGATTTATTAATTATTGATATTGTTTGATTGTGCCGTAAAAATAAATATTTGTTTTATTAAAACAATAAGTAGGTAGCTAGTAGTTAAATACCGAATGGATTATTTAAGAAATTTATCTGCGAGAAGTCAAATGTCTCTTCCTTTGTATTTGTAACTTAAACTATAGTTTATATGTCTTATGAACATAATTCCTGGTATGGGGTCCCCAGGTAAACTTGGTTTATGAGTTATGCTAGGAAGCATTAAAAAAAAAGGTAAAACATTTTCATTATTGATCACTTTTAGCTCTTTACTCTTGTCAAATGTCAGGTAAGTAACGAAGACAATTAATTTTCTTCTTCCAAAGCGTTTCACTTTCAATAGCAAATAGATGTTGTACCCCATAGCTTTACTGTCCATATCTTTTGTGAAATTCGAAAGGAAAATTCTCAATTTGCCACATTGTTGATGAAATAAAATCAAACGCAATAATTAAACGTAGTTAACAAATTTAAGATATCTGTGTCAACTTATCAATTCTTAATTCACTTTCTGGTTACTTCCGACAGTTCGCAAAATCTTTTCTGGAAATGTACTCCATAAATTTATTTGCTTGCACTTGCAAATATCAGCTCTTCACATTTTTCAACGAAACATCTTTCTGTTGGTAAAAACTTGAAAACTATTAACTATATTCATTAACTAGGATCTCATGAAATTAGCATGAAGTAAACACCCAATAACATAACTACTAATTGAAAAGAGCACCTGCATCTACAACTATAATTCACCAGCTTCTCCCTAGAATAATCGAAGTTGGTGACCACCTCGACAAACTGTTCTTCACCACCCACCACCCTGACGAGCTGTATCACACTAGACTCCACACACTGTACCACACACTGCAGTCCCTGGTCAGTGGTGTTAGCGTAACTCACGCACAGTTTACCTAGAGTGTCTACACTAAGACTTATCTCTGTTGATACTGATAAGATACCCGGGATTTCTAGTTGAGAGGAGGACTCCTTACAATGCGTGTAATTATTGTGGAACGGCCCTGAGGCGAAGTCACACAACGACACATCCACCGTGATAAGAGGTGAATCTGTGTTATTATCAGTTTCTGTTTGTTCAGCAGTACACTCTAAAAGGCAGGGTGAGAGCGAGGAGTTGTAGTGTCCTCCCTCGCAGAGGAGGGTTTGTACAGCAGATGGTAGGAACCCCTCCTCACACTGCACTGTAGTTAGAGTGGAGGATTCAACAGATATGGTTGAGTGAGGGGGGTTTAGTGGGACACACTGGAGAGGGACACACTGAGGTATAGTATTGTACTCACTGTTCGCCTGACACCTGCATTTAGAAATACAGTTAGGTCTTGGATCAGGTTAACTTAAGGTCTTAATTACTGGGACTGATTCACTGTTAGGGGTCTGAAGCATTATTTACCTAATTTAAAGTATATCTCATAAATAAGTGCAAAATATTCCACGTAACCAAGTAGCCCATAAATTTTTACCTGGGAAAGACCCCTGTCAGCTCGTAGTCTTCCTGACACTTCACGTTCAGTAGATCAGCTCCCCTGTACCCTTCTAGCGGAACTGTCTCCAGCACGTGATCTATCCTAACATCCTCCACTGAGCACGTGTCTCCTGCTGTCTGCTCACAGTGTGCTCCGTACATACCACTATCTTCACACTGACACTGATACCCTTTGAAACCTGCAATAGGATGTGTTGTAAATGACTTGTTAATCCCTGATTCCATTCGTAACCAAGGTTACCTTATTTTGAACCTGTTACCTAATGACTTTTTAAGTAACTTGTTTACCTATGACCAAAAGTCAGGTATCTTACAAATGCTAAACGACTGTACCTGCCATGACACATTGGTTGCTGTCACAAGGGAAATCCAGGTCGTCGCAGGGGTCCAACATTTCAAGAGTAGTGCCATTCTTACAGAGACCCTGAACAAGTGCAGTCTCTACTAAAGCCACCACTCCACTCGGCTGCTCACTCAGATGCAGCTCTATAGTTATCACTATCTGAGCGTTAGTTTTAGGGGTGTCATCCTCCAGCGTGAGGTTTATCATCTGGGTCAGGTATCTGTCTACTCTGTAACATTGCTGCTTGTTTGGGGTTATGGTGCAATCTGGCCTGTATTATAAACACCTCCTCGTTCGAGAAATAGTCCTTTCTGTGGAGGAGTGTTATATTTAGATATGACTTGCAACTTTGCAACACGAACATATTCTACTTTCTATAAATTTGACCTAAAGCTTGAAACTACGTTGAAAGAGGTAGAACTTGAACATACAAATCCTAGTAACCACAACAAAGGACTTATCATAGTTATACTCACAAGCTGATAGAAATAGTAGCTTCATTTTCAGGAGCAGTAACAGTGTTAGCGAACTTGACGAGAAGACAACTCTCGGTCTGGAGATCAAACCTCTGACTAGTGAGTCTGTACTTGCCAGGAGGTGTGCCCCTGTCAGAGGTTATGTGGAGTGAGGGAGGGGCTCTCTGTCCCACACTGAACTGCTCCACTGCTCCCCCTGACAGCTCCATATCACCCGGCACACGCACACTCCACCCACAAGAGTCAGACGGAACAGAACAGCCCAGGAGTGGGGCCTGTGTCTGGCGCAGTGGTCAGCACCTCACAGGTCACGTAAACCAGTTGGAGCCTCTCAACCAGGAGGAGTCAGCTGACTTGTAGAGCCCAGGGCTGGAGATGAACTCAGGATATTGAGCTGTAGTTCGTAGAAACACCATCTCCTCCTCACTTGTTGCTTTGTTCACTACCTGAAGATACAAAGTTTAATGAATTTCAGTCCCGTCCCGTAAATAAAAAAAAAAAACCCTTTGGGGGGGTTTTTTTTTTTGTCTATCTATCCTTATCCCATGATCCAGTCCCGTCCCGAACAGTCCCAAACTATTTCCAACACTCCCCGTTTCGCAGGTGTATTTACTTGCCAGTGTGGTGTAGGCCATGTCTCCGAAGTTAGTACATATTGTAGATCGTATTTCTCATTCCCGTAACGAATCCGGTCATTATAGAAACCCTCTGTTACATCTAATATTATGACTGAAAGATAAAGTTTGATAGAGAGGATATAGTTAAATCAGAAATTAAATTCCATAGTTAAGAGGCCTAAAAAGCTACCGGCATATGTTCCAGCCAAATTGTTGCGAAAAGTTGCTAACCTTGATTAGGGGAGACAACCATGACATTTCCATAGCACTTTCTTGTATTCTCCGGGACACATTGGAAGTTCATACTCGTTAAAATCTCTTCACTTTCTGCTAGCCTGAGATCCAATTTTTAGTCAGGAAAGCTAAGCGTTTGACAATAGATACCCCAATAGATATAACCACTGCCCAAACATTTTAGTCTGCGATAGTAGGATAAATAAAAAGTACAAGGTTTACAACAAGGTTTAAAACAAGGTTGTACAACAAGGTTTACAACCAAGTTTACAACAAGGTTTACAACAAGTTACAACATGTTACCACAAGTTTTACAACAAGGTTACAACAAGGTTTACAACAGACGAAAAAAAAGTAGATAGGAACCCTGCTTTCAACACTACAATTTGCAGTGATCACCCCAGTTTACATTACTCGTAGCAAATTGAATCTTGTTCAAGGTGAGGTTCAAGTTGGACTTAGCAACATTTCCATTTAGACGTTCCTTTAATTCGTCAGGGAAAATCTCTAAAGACATTTGAAGCGGCACAAGTTGGTCACAAATAGACAGGAGGATCTGTCATGTGTATACTATGAATTACATGCATTGTTGTATGTGAAGGATGGAATTCTGTCGAATTCACTACACACGATTTGCAAGACACACAACGATTTTGTACGTTTTGCCCTGTGAAAAATTTCAAAATCAAAATCTTGCATCCAGACGGGGGAGCATCACGAGTTGGATCAAGCGTACGAAGTTATGAATTATTACCAGTATAATGATGTTCACAGCTAGAACTTTAATAAGAAACAACAACTATTGGATACGATTATCAATACAGTGGGTTCCTAGTTTGGTAAACTTACCGGAGGCAGGGACTGCATAATATTGCGTGGGATCCGAAAAATGTGTGCAATAGGAAACACGTTGATCGATCTCCGAATTCGGAGTCGATCCCAATGTAACCCCTCTTCGTAAGCTTCAATCTTTCCTTCGCTAGATTTTTTTTAGAACGAAACAAAATGTCACAGACCTTGAGACGGGATTTGTAAAAAGAATAATAAAACTTTTGTTTAATAAGTATTTTGGCCCCCGCTGTGGACGACTGAATAATGGGTCCAATGTTGCACGCAAATGATATGATATGGGCATTCTGGTCGCAATAGTTTTAACACTTTGGCGGTGTTGGGTATCATGTGCTTCATGGTATTATCGGAGATTGCGAAGGAAATCAAAATATTGAGCTACTATGTGCAACTCCTGAGTCTCGGAACCCGAGAGGATTGAAAGTTAATAACTTTACAATCTCTTTAAAACAGCGAAATGTCACTGCTGGGGGTCCTCACGCAATTGTGTGAGGGCACTATAAAGGGTATTGATACGTGGTTTCATCATAATTTTGATTTGACGCTCGTATTTGCTTAATATCGTATAAACTAGAAAATGGATGACACACGATTTGCATGTAGAAATATAGGATCAACTGAAGATATTATGGTCTGACGAAAATGAGATAGGAAAGCGTGAAAGAGACCTGTTGATAAAGGGAATGCCCTTTGTCAGCAAATCAAGAAGCGCATGCATGGAGAGGAAGATTCCGGAAAAAAGAAAAGAATGAAGAACAAGGATGTGCAGCGAAAGAGAACAAAGAGAACCGGGAAAAAGAAAAACGAGGATTCCGACAACAAAAAATATTCCACTGGACAAGAAGAAGAATACAGATAAAGATATGCCACAAGAAAGAGAAGAAGCAGCGGAGAGACAGAGATTGAGAAGCCGGCAGAAGAGCGAGATGGTCCAGAGAAGACGGTAGAAGAAGAGGACAGACACGCAGCATGACGAACAGAGGGAAGGTGAAAGAAAAGAATGTAATTACAAAGAAGAGTAGAGAAGCGCAGAAAGAAATGAAGAGTGATCAAAGAAGGGAAGCACATGTAGGAGGGAAGAACAAAGATTATGAAATAATGAGGAACAGCGGAAGTCATGCTGAAGGAAAACTGAAGAAAGATGCAGCGAAAGGCAGAAAGAAAACATCAGGCTCCAAATATCTAAAAATCTCCCAAGCAAAAATGGAGAAAGGGGGTTATGCCGAAATAAAAGATAATTGGTCCAAACAGATAGGAGCAGTAGCACGATTATGACCGGAGCCCAGTATTATGGGGATGCTGAAAGAGGCGAAGATCGAGGGAAGCAGAGATGGACTTCGATGCGGCAAAACCATCCCGAGGAGAATTCCCTCTAAGCAAGCAACAATCTCGGAGATGATTGATTGATTGGGGGACAGGACCGTAGTACCAGCCAATGTTTACTCAAATTAATAAAAAATCGAATAAGTTAAATATTCATCCCCGAGGGGCACGCAGATTAAATTGTGATGTATCTAATAAAACTATTCATTAAAATTTATGGTCCGAGTCGACTGCCCTGATCTGCAAACATATTGATAATAGTAACGTTAACTTTATTATGCTGCCTCACCGCAATAGTGTTTATCAGTTGTCTGTGTAGATATGCGCATGTGGCAGTGAACTAAGGAATGTCTGTTAGAATGGCAGGTGGGGTTTGAAAAGTAGTCCCTGATTTCAGATTGTTTAATTTGAGCTGTATGAGTTTGGTTTTTGAGTGATTCTAGACTATGTTCTTTGTGAATATACGTAACCCATGGTAGGTTGTGGATAAAAATGGTGCCATTCGTCGTGCAGCCGAGCACTTTGCAAGTCTAGTAGTACATTATTGACGAATTTGGGCGTGTTTATTCAGAACAAAGAGGATTTTCCCTCCGAGTCTTAAATATGACGGGCACTAAGGGAGTGGTTTAACGGCTAAGGATGTGTGCTACGGAATAACGGGAGAATAAAGAGAGCAGCCGGTGCATTGAATAGTAGGAATAACACCAGAAAGGAGAGAAGAAGATGAATAGAATTCATATTAAAATAGACGGGGGAATTCTCCCGGGGAAGTAGACTTTACAGGATAGTAAAGGATTTAAGGGAAGATGAAGAAAGAAGAAAACGGATGACAGGTAGAGAAAGAGTTGAGTGAACTGATGATGAGATTGTGGTTTTTAATACTCTCGATGTACCAACTCTGATAACTCACTTGCAATTGTATGCGTTTATATTACCATTTGAGGAATTGTACAATTGAGGATACAGATCTTATTTATTGCATATCAAATGATATCTCTGATTCATAATTTTAGTGAAGTATCCTCCTGTATATGCAGCGGAGAACATCCTCACTAATTTGTGGGAGGATATGTTGTAGGGTCATTTTGGCGATCTGCCAAAATAAAAATTTTGTCATAGTCTAACACTTAATTCTTTTATTACTACAATGAATCGGTGGACATAATAAAGATAAGACCCGACTGTAAAAGAAAGACCGTGAAGAAGGACGTGGGAGAAGGAAGAATACGAATGGAAGCCGAGGGATGTGCGCAGAGGAGATCGCGAGAAGTGGAGCCTTAAATGGCAAATAGACTTGATACTGTTTAGAATTCAGAGAGTTTTTGGGGAGCAGAGAGTTTTTGGGGAGCAAGAGAGTTCATTTAACCTCTCTGTTTTTTGATTATCAGCGAGTTCATTTACACCTCTGTTTGGCTATAGAGGATATTTAGGATGATAGATTAGGCGAATTGTTTAGAGCAGAGAGTTATAGGAACATAAGAGTTTTATTTAACATCTCTGTTTTGATAAACATAGAGTTCAGTTTAACCACCTCTGTTTTTTGGTTACTAGGAGGATAGTTTTAGGTCTTAGGATTTGTTTATAAATTGCTAGGGAGATTAAAGGAGATTGTTTAAACTTCTGGGAAACTTAGAGTTGGGACTTTGAAGGAGGATACCCTTTTTATGGGATTGAAGACAGCAAAAGTTTACAGATAAAGCATACAATAAAGACCTAGGATATTTTAATTATTGAGATATTAAATATTGAAGAACATTGAACATTGTAATTTACAAACTTAACCGTTTTATTCAATTTGTAGTACTTCCCTGTTCTCCTTGTTACCTGAACCAAATTGTAAGGAAAAGAGCATTTTATCACAAGGTTTACAACAAGGTTTACAACAAGGTTTACAACAAGGTTTACAACAAGGTTTACAACAAGGTTACAACAAGGTTTACAACAAGGTTTACAACAAGGTTTACAACAAGGTTTACAACAAGGTTTACAACAAGGTTTACAACAAGGTTTACAACAAGGTTTACAACAAGGTTTACAACAAGGTTTACAACAAGGTTTACAACAAGGTTTACAACAAGGTTTACAACAAGGTTTACAACAAAGTTTACAACAAGGTTTACAACAAGGTTTACAACAAGGTTTACAACAAGGTTTACAACAAGGTTTACAACAAGGTTTACAACAAGGTTTACAACAAGGTTTACAACAAGGTTTACAACAAGGTTAACAACAAGGTTTACAACAAGGTTTACGACAAGGTTTACAACAAGGTTAACAACAAGGTTTACAACAAGGTTTACGACAAGGTTTACAACAAGGTTTACAACAAGGTTTACAACAAGGTTTACAACAAGGTTTACAACAAGGTTTACAACAAGGTTTACAACAAGGTTTACAACAAGGTTTACAACAAGGTTTACAACAAGGTTTACAACAAGGTTTACAACAAGGTTTACAACAAGGTTTACAACCCGACTTACTTCCAGGTAACCTCTGTTAAAAAGGGTTGTGTAGTAATAGTAGGACTAGAAACAAGTACAGTTCCTTGATCAGCATACTTGGATACCTCCCACCTCCTGTCTAGATCATTGTACGCCACATAGCCCTGCTGTAACGAGTCCTCTGTCGTCTTGTAAACTGGTTTGTTCTGAAGTACAATGTGTTAGTTACAGTGATTATCTCTGAACCCAGCAAGGCGTGGTAGTTAGATGAGAAACTTACGTTAATTTAACTTAGTGTAAGAGCAAACGATAGTGGATTATATTCTCAGAATAAGTCCAGGTCTCTCAGAAAATAAAGGTATAGTAGTGTTATTACCTGGGGATTGTAGTGTTGACACTTATCAAGAGCAAGATGATCGGTCGCCTAAAAATAATGCTTACCCGGAGTTTGTAATCCTGTAGCTCGTACACAGTCTCGTATTGGAAGATAGCACTGTTTGGGGCGACTCCTACTAGTAGCAGCTTCCCTGAGGGGCAATCGGTACACCCCGCCTCATCTCTTCTGTCTATACACTGAAACAAGCAGATGATTTGTTACAGGTCTAAAATGAACCTGATCCAAATCTGCTCTAACTGGCTAACTGGCATAGAAAAGGAGTTCTAAATTTCATTCTTACATTTAATTTCACTCCCAACATCTGATAACATTTGTCCTAATATACCCTCAGAGCGTGGAATATATAAAAACTATAATTGGACAATTTAAACGCGGCCTTGAAACATGGAATTATATCATGTCACAGAGTCAACGAAGACTTACAAGTCTTTTTCTTTGATGTGTCGTGAGAATTATTACAGAGCTGAGTTTTATCAAGACCTGGTATTTTCCTGTGCTAAACATAACATTGGAATATCTTAAACTGATCAAACTGGAGAGCCACGGCTGTTTTTCAAATGATCTGATTTTTGTGTCTCGACTGAGTTGGAGATGTGCCAATAATACTGACTGAGTTGGAGATGTGCCAATAATACTGACTGAGCTGATAACCATACTTTCGTTAAGGTTAATTGTTAATTTTTTTACAGATTATTAAAACTAACACAAACTGAAATGCTACCCATAAATATGATTATGAAGAACAGTGTTGACCATCCGTTATTTGATGTAACGACAGTTGGCACAGACACGACATTGAAGAATACTCCGTGAGCTGTGACAAAGAAGGTTAGTGGTCACTCTGTGTCCAGTATACGTAGTGTACACATTATAGATCTTAACTACATTGCTGTGTTTAACACTAACAGTAAAAACCATGTTGTCTAAGTGGTCAAACACTTGATTGTAAAATTGTCACAAAACTAAGGTCGTACGTTGATATAGAGCTGGTAAAAATCTCGCCTCTTTCACTGGAATATAATCATTACTACAGTACGCTGGTGAATATAAAACCCAGTACTGAAGTAAGAACTGGTGACAATCTCGCCTCTTTCACGCGAATATAAACACTACTACTGAAGTAAGAACTGACCTGGTTAACACCATCACAATGGTAGAAATAGCTCGTCAGGGGTTCAATACCAGGTATGATGTCAGTGTCACAGTAGAAGGGGTCCGCAACCACAGCCACAGAGTACCAGGTCAGCAACACGTGGAGCAACAGGGTACTGCAGTGCAACATTCTTCCTACAGGTGGGGAGGTGTTTACTGGCCAGTAATGCAACATTTAGCAGTTTTAATCTAATTTAGGGGGACCTTGTTATCAGGGTCCTTTATTTAGATACCTCTAATTCATTATTATTGAAGTGAACGCTGTAATTGGACATGCTTCGGTTTAAGATAGGGCTATCGGTGGTTGTAAATAATGTAAAAATATGCAATAAAAGTTTCGAGGCTATGAATACGAATTATAGCTGATAAAGGATTTGCTTAATTATTCTACCTAATTTGTTTAATTATTCTACCTCTAAGTATGAGCAGTGACGAAACGTACAAATGTGCCCCCCCCCCCCCTCTCGGACTAAAAATGTTTCCGACCCTTACATTTTTATAATGTCCTAAAATAAAGAAGAAAAAAAAGGTCAGGTATACAATTATTTTGTACACTAAATATTTTTTTCGCGTCGACCTAAGGTTCAAGTGGATGGGATAATACAAAACATGAAACGTTTTTCTTTTTAAAAATGCCTAAAATTCGGGAAATTGTCGCCGTTACGCTACTGATTATGAGTCGCTATAAAATCAGGTCAAGCAGGCGATAATCCCTAAGAGTGACAGTGACAAGTCATATCACCAAAAGCGACGGGGACAGGGTCAAGTTGTTCCTAAGAGCAACGGTGACGGTGCCAAGTTGTCCAGAACACAGAGAAAACCAGAGAAACGTGAGAGGTAATAGAATATGGGTTTTATACCAAATATCTTCGCTACATAGACTCTGCAATCTAATCTTATTATTTACAACTGATCCAGCTCTTAGCAGGGCTCCCTCTATAATTGTATATTATTTCCCACAAGGTACTGCAAAGTGGCAAATGCGTAGACATGTTCCCACTACTGGTGGCGGGTGAAAATTGACAACCCTTAACAAGAATTTGGCACCAAATTCTTGTAATTTTACGGAACGATAACAAAGAAAATCTGTGACTTGCTGAGGTAAGCACCGTTTACAGAGAAATTAATTTAAGTAATCAAATTGGGGAAATAATCGCATGTATGCAGATGTATCACTTGAAACCCAATATTATCAGATATGTGGAAGTAAAGCGGTCATAGCGGCTGGCCTATCAACTCTGGGTTTGATGATCCATTTCAATAACATTATTTCAGCAGCTGGTGAATTAAAAATGAAGGAGAGGAGCGGTTGAAAAGTACAATATGTGCTAGAGAAATTAGACAAAACATTCTGATGTCTATACTATGAAAGGTAAAGAATAGGGCGGGTTTATTGTGAGAATAGTGGTCGTTCCCACCAAGATTCGACTAAGAATTACCGCTATACAATGCTCTCAATTCTACTTTTAATGACACTTTTGTGTTTGCATGATCATTTCGTGTGCAGGATCATTTCTCGTGCAAGAGTTTGGGGTAATTGCCGAAATTGAAACAATGTGGGATAAGGTTTGTATGAAGATACCCTAAATTTACACTTTTCAAAAAGCTAGACAATGAACATAGCCTACTTCATTAGGTAATTTTATGAGGAATCATTTTATTCATTATTATATCTTAGTTCATAAGAGAATGTAGCAATGCAAAATAAATCTTTTGAAAAATTCGGGCGGTTTTCGAAAAAAAAAACCCCGCCCAATTATCAATTATCGCGTACTGATGACTGTGTACAAAGTATAAAATTCAGAAGCTCAGTTATTGTAGCTTTGTAGCAATTCAAGATATCATAAAATCTCAGGTATGTTAATGTTGAGTATGGTTTTTAAATGGTTAGAAAGTTAGAATAGAGGATGGCACAAACTTCGAAGCCAAACTTCTCCGCATTGTATTATTACATTTTTCTTGTTGTTTCTAGGAACTACATAACATTTTTTGAAAAACAACCAGGGGTTGGAGGACTTGAACCAGGGGTTTAAGGACTTGAACCAGGGGTTGGAGGACTTGAACCAGGGGTTGGAGGACTTGAACCAGGGGTTGGAGGACTTGAACCAGGGGTTGGAGGACTTGAACCAGGGGTTGGAGGACTTGAACCAGGGGTTGGAGGACTTGAACCAGGGGTTGGAGGACTTGAACCAGGGGTTGGAGGACTTGAACCAGGGGTTGGAGGACTTGAACCAGGGGTTGGAGGACTTGAACCAGGGGTTGGAGGACTTGAACCAGGGGTTGGAGGACTTGAACCAGGGATTGGAGGACTTGAACCAGGGGTTGGAGGACTTGAACCAGGGGTTGGAGGACTTGAACCCCAGGGGTTGGAGGACTTGAACCAGGGGTTGGAGGACTTGAACCATGTGTTTAAGGACTTGAACCAGGGGTTGGAGGACTTGAACCATGGGTTTAAGGACTTGAACCAGGGGTTTGAGGACTGGAACCAGGGGTTTGAGAACTGGAATCAGGGGTTTGAGAACTGGAATCAGGGGTTTGAGGACGCAAACCAAGGGTTGGAGGATTAGAACAAGGGGTTTGAGGACTTGAACAAGGGGTTTGAGGACTTGAACCAGGGGTTGGAGGACTTGAACCAGGGGTTGGAGGACTTGAACCAGGGGTTTGAGGACTTGAACCAGGGGTTGGAGGACTTGAACCAGGGGTCGGAGGACTTGAACCAGGGGTTGGAGGACTTGAACCAGGGGTTTGAGGACTTGAACCAGGGGTTTGAGGACTTGAACCAGGGGTTGGAGGACGCAAACCAAGGGTTTGAGGATTAGAACAAGGGGTTTGAGGATTAGAACCAGGGGTAATCTATACTATTGACCCTATACGTGTTTATTTAGAATAAAAGATGCAGAATATTATTTATTGTATTTTGGGGTATGTGATAGCACGATCAATAGCAACTGATAAGACTCATTCTAAACCGGTAATCAAAAGCGTCACCACCCTGGCAGTAGCAACCTAGACTGTTACTAGTCTAGAAAGGAAAAATCGGGCTACCTGGGCATATCACCCTAGTTACAACAGGGTATTACTAGTCGGGTAATACCTTGCTTCGTTATCACGTGACATGCAGTCAAGTAAGAGTGATACGTAGGAAGTAATTTTAACATCCCTGGTTTCTTGCACGTGCTTATAACGTGGGGTGGTAGCAGCAGGTTGGTAATCATATGTATTACTAGTCTTGAAAGAAAACAAAACCAGCCCATTACCATGGCCATATGTCGATAATCAGCTTGGTAATAAATAAAATAATACCATAGTATTATGAGTTTAGAACGAAATGGAGCAGCCTATTACCACCCTGGTAATAACCAGACTGGTAACCCATACTATTACCAGTCTAGAATCAGGGTCTCAGACTCTCAGGTAGTACCACGGTATAAATGTGTCTTTTGTTAGCAGCTGCCAGACTCAGCATTGTGTGTAAATGGCTTCACAAACAGAAACAAACAAAAGACTGCGACTAACGTATGGTGACCAACAAACAAAAGATATAGAACAAAATATTTTGATCACCTTTTACTATCAATGATAAAATTGCTGTCGAGAAATTTCAGCTTCTCATCAAATAACACATGTTAATGAAAAATATACGTATGACATAATACAGCATATAAGAGCGTGTGTAATGTGTATACTGTTGACGATGTAATTAAGTCTACAACAACTGATAGATTCGCCACATGGAGAGCTGATAACCGGGATTGTAAATGCAGTCATGTACACTCAACAGCACACACAGAACATTCCGCAAATGTAGCAAGCCTAGATGATCGTCAAGCAGGAACATTCCTAGGATATTAAGGTATTATATGTGAGTGAGTGTGTTTGATCATTTGTTTACCTGCCAATCACGGTAGGAAGCACTTTGGGAATTGAGGCACAAGCTTTAGGAATCTAAATTATGTTATTTTTCCTCAACTCATTAGGTGATGATCTTAGTGGTTCTACAATTATAGGGGTAATGTTTCCGCATTATATGTTAATTACTAGTCGTTACCTACGTGTAACTAAACGTGGTTACTAGGTGATCACCTAGTAACGTGTTAAATACGGTTACTAGGTTATCACATAGTAACGCGTTAAATACGGTCACTTATAGGTAATCACCTATAAACGTGTTAAATACGATCACTAGGTGATAAAAACGATATAACGCAAAACTAAGCAACTATACCTGCTAAATATCAGAGTCGCTAAAAACATGAAAAATAAAAATAGCTGACTATATTTGTATGCGTTAAGGTTCAGTTCCGGTCAGCAATCATGTCAGACATTGTTGTAAGGATGAACTGAAATGTCGACGTGGTTGTCCCGGGTTACGAGTTTTTGTACAATCTCACCGGCTACCCACACCTGTCAACACCATTCAAAAAACAAATTATAATTCCCCAGTCGTGAACCCAGTCTAGTCTGGCATATTCATGTGCACATTTTAATGGCGTTTGTCAATCTTGAATAAGCATGCAGATCCTCATACAGATCATGCACAATAGTTGCAATTAATTGAAGATTCGCAGCCTACAAACCTCAAGCACAAAGATATGTCAAAGCACAATGAAATCAAGTACTGAGAAGAATATTCAACATAAAATTAAGCATAAGCAAGCACTCAAATGAACAATGAAACAAGAAACTCAATACACAAAAGTGTCCTGTATTAACCGTACTGAAATCATCACTAAGTGCTTTATCTGATTATGATGCGAACATTGGATATTCACACGGATAAGGAACCGATTCTAAATACCTCCCGCCTTCGATCAAATAATACAATATTTGACCTAATAAGGCTTGGAGGGTGTGACGCAACTATGACTCATAATTATTCAGCTCCATCACTACTTGATCAAATCTGGCTCTAAACTAATTCAGCGGTGTTATAGAAAGGCGTGCTGGAGAGGTGATGTCAGCGTAACACTAACATAAACTATAAGGTCTCCAAGGCCGGTTGCGCGCGCATGTTATCTGCAAGACCGAGTGGTAAGGAGGTGAAGTGTGTGGGTAGTGAAGTCTGAGGAGTTAGGTGCCAAGTTACAGGATTGCGTGACTCGGGCTGGAATAGACGCACATTCCTAATAGC